TCTACTTAAGGGGGACAATGGGGTTTAGGGATTAGGGTTAGGGTTAGGGTTCCCATGGTTCAGGATTTAGGATTTTAGGGTTCAGGATTTAGTGTTTAGGATTTAGGCTTTAGGCTTTGGGCTTTAGGGCTAGGGTTTAAGAGTTCAGGGGGTTAGCTGGGGTAGGTACATGACGCATAGTCCAGGTAAGGGCCTGTTGCTTGACGCTTTTGAGCGTTCAGAATTGGAAGGTTCATGGCTTGATCCCACCTCCAGCACTTCCTGATCCCTACTTCAGTACTCCGTAGAAAAGTATTTTCAGTTGTAAAGATGTCCCAAAGGAATGATTGAACATATTGTTTCTAGTATAGGTCTAGGGGGATTATAGAATTGAAAGAGTCTTTCTGAGTAAACATGAGTAGTTCGAAGGACCGAGAACAGAAACTTCCCAACCACCTTTCAAGTAGGGCTACCTTGCTTTGTTGCATGGTGGCCCAATTATGCCCAAATAAAAAGCGGATTTTGGAAACTGCAATCAGGACGCTTTTCTAGCCATATCATAGATGCACATAGAATGGGTCTGAATTTGCGGGGTTGGGGTGACCAAAATCCTTCTACCATTCTAAGAACCCTATACCCTAAACCATTAAACAATCTACCCAGGACCTCTAAGGCCCTCCACTACCCCAAACCCTAAACCCTAAGCCCTAAACCCTGCTACCTAGGACCTCCCAGTGCTGGGGTGCCGGAATGATCCCTAATGTAGACCCCTGATTCATAGCCCCCCTTCTTTTAAGGGCATTAGTATTAGGATCCCTATTATAGTTCCTATTAAGGGGAGAGGGTTTATTAATCACGTGTCTAGGTTATACAATCCCTGGGCAACAGAGAGATACATGCCCTACGACCTGAAATGCCATACCCTGGCCTCCAGACCTTTTTTTCCGAAAGCCGAAGCTCTGAATCCTAAAGCTCCTGCATCCCTAAAACCCTGAAACCCTGACTCCTGAACGGCTAAGGCTCTAAAATCCTTAGCCAAAGCACCCCGCAGCTTGCAGAATCTTTACTTCCTAAACCCTGAGAAAACCCAAAACCTTGCACACTAGACCCTCAAACGCAATCCTCACGTAATTCTAAGATTGAAAGCCCTAAACCCCAAATCCTGAAACCCCCGAACCAAAAGCCCTAAATGGAGGTTTCCCAAAATCAGGGGTACCCTTTTGGGGGCCCCCATAATGCCATAATAAGGACTATAATATTTTGGGGTCTATATTGGGGCCCCCTTATTCAGGGAAACTACCAAATCCTAAGCCCTAAACCCTAAACCTTAAACCCTAAACCCTAAACCCTAAACCCTAATCCTAAACCCTAAACCCTAAACCCCCAAAACAAGAGCGGCCCAGGTGAAATCCATGTCTTGGCGCGTGCAGCGGTCGCGGCAACCCGTTGACCTCGACTTGAAGATCCTGGGATCTACATGCGGGCTATTAGTAAGGAATAAAGGGGTTTAAGGTTTAGGGGTTTAGGGGTTTAGGGTTTTAGGGCTTTAGGGTTTAGGGTTCAGGGCCTAGGGGTTTAGGGGTTTAAGAGTTTAGGGGTTAGAGTTTAGGAATTGCATAGCCCTACTATACATCCCTAATATAACCCCCAATCCCCGTATATAGAAGCTGCAATTGGGGGTGTGGGGTTTGGGCCTAGGGGAATGCAAATGAAAATGGAAGCTGCTATTCAGGGTTTATGGCTGGGTCACGGAGTGAAGGAGTATGAAAGCAAATGGAAGCTGCCATAGTTGGGAACATTTTGGGGCTGCTATAGAGATGATTCCTCCATTCCCTACTGGCACCTAGGCTTGCCAGTTGTTGTATCTGCCAAGATCTAGGGTTTAGGGTTTAGGGGTTCCTGCGTTGCTGTTGAAGACCATTAGGATTCCATGCATGAGGCCAATATCGACTGAACCATGACAATTTAGATAGTACCTTAGCATCAGGGTTCAAGGGTTCGGGGTTACAGTAGGGTTTAGAGTCAAGGATTTGGGGTACGCTGCCTGAAGCCCTTAAAATTGTTGTTTCCATGCTTGGGAGTCTGGGTCCTTTGTCCATAGGGGGGGAGCTGAATCCTTAGACTTAGTACAGAGCTAGTTTTGGCCTACCCCCTGCTATTGCTGGGGTGGAGCATGGGGAATAGAATCATGTTGACGGGAATGATGACAGAGCGATTTTGCCATTGCGCCTGCCGTTGGCGCCGCTGCACCTGCTGCTGCCTCTGCTGCTGCTGCTGCCGCTGCCGCCGCTGGTGCTGCTTCTGCTGCTTTTTTCTGCCACTGCTGCTGACGAGCAGGAGGATCGAAATGGTCAACGATATTGTATGGACATATTGGTTGGTGAGGCGTCCTCCATCCTTCTGAGAGGAGCCCCTCTTTGCCCGTTGTGTCAAAGATTCCATGCTTCTACTTCTGCTGTAGCAGGCAGTGTCGTGGGAGGAGGTTCTGTTATTGGATTGATGGTGTTAGGTGCAGCGTCACCTGCCTGTCTGGTGCTGATACGCGCTTACCCGACTTTCCCAAAACCGACGTCCGATAACTCCCTAAGCCCTAAAAACCCAAACCTTAAAAGCCTAAAGCCTAAAACTCTAAACCTCGGTAGAGCTTTGGTCCTCAGATTCCCCTGAGCAGATCTGTCTGAAGTCCAGGCCAACATTGCTGCATTCCGATGGTACGGAACACATCGTTGCCCCTTGGATGGAAGGTATAGTTTAGGAGGACCCCCCCCACACTGTAATAGTGGTATAGCAATATAAGAGGACCTGAATATGATTCTTGTGATTTCTTATAGTCACTATTGCCGAGAGGAGGACCACCTGAGGTATGGTCCACTAACCTTGAGATGTCAGGGCTTGAGTTTCGTGTTGAGTGGCTAGATACCCCAGTAGTACCCTTTTGCCCTTTTTATTTTGGGGTCTCCTTATTAAAGCTGAACCGTAGGAAAAAGGGTACCCTTATTATTAATGGGTTACTGGGGAACCTAGGTGGACTGAGACTGTAAGACTGCTCCAGTTAAGTGACCTTTTCGGCTTCGTTGGACAAATCCCTGCCCGTGGACACCCTTCACTGCCTGATCTTGTTGGAAAACTCACGCGGTTTTGAAAAGACCCACCCCTGATACCATGGACCTAAAGCCCTTAACCTTAAACTCTTAACATCCATTCAGGTCTTCAACGGCGTAGTCCTTCGACCCACGCCCCGTGCCGTTGCCGAGCGCGGCGGACCAAACCTACCCTTCACACGACCAGGGCAGGCTTCAGGGGGCTTTGGCTTTCGGGTTCGTGGGATTTTTGATTTCAAGTCGTGGGTCTCGGATCTAAGGTTTCAGTGGTGGGGTTTGGGGGTTCAGCTTCTAAGCGTTGAGGGTTCGCGCTTGCGTGTAGGTTTGTGGGTTTCGGGATGATGCAATGCCAGGGGAGCCTGGGGATGCGTTGCACTTGTAAGGCGACCCCTAAACCCTAAATCCTAATGAGGGTGCGGCATGGTGCGGATTATGTGCCATGGACCTCTACGTATAACTTGAGTACTGCCTTTCTGGTAACTGAGTGTCAAATATTATGTATCAGTGAATCTAGCGTATTTCAAGAAGCCCTAAACCCTGATGGGCAGGGTTCATGTTGAGAAGTTGTCATCGGCAGAACACTACACCTAGGGAGTATTTTGCGAACACGAGGGTTTAGGGTTTAGGGTTTGGGGACTGTAGGGAGGAGTCTGTTACAGAGGGGAGTCATGGTGAGGTCGGGTTTTGATTCTTAATATAACCCTAATGTAACCTCGACATATACCCTATTATATTATAGTAGCTTCCATTTTCTTTTCCATTATCCCTACATAACCCCTATAGACCCTAAACCCTAAATAGTAGCTTCCATGTTCTTTTCCATTATCCCTACATAACCCCTATAAACCCTAAACCCTAAATAGTAGCTTCCATTTTCTTTTCCATTATCCCTACATAACCCCTATAAACCCTAAACCCTAAATAGTAGCTTCCATTTTCTTTTCCATTATCCCTACATA